TACAGAATGAAGCAGAATCCCAACAGAATGATGAAGGACAAGACTCAGATCTACCTAATGGAGGTTTTGCTCTAGAATCGTGCCTTCAGCCTCTAGACATTGCAGAGGAGATCCTGTGTTACAGTGACAGCACGTATTGTGTTGCACCCGCAGAAAGAAACAGTCCAGTCAGTTTCTTCAGGACACCCAAACTGGAGGCCATGGCTTTTCCTGTTCAGTTCCCTACTGGTCAGAACACTCTGGATGAACCGAGGCGTATTAAAGTCACACCCAGCTCTTATTTCAAGTCCAGATTGTTTCACATTGATGACAGATTTGCGAGAGACCCCAACTACTTGTTTTTTGCACAGTTTGTGACTGAGATCCACTTGGCTAACTCCAACATGATCATACAGCTGAGGAAAGGTAAAACTATGAGCAGAGATGGGCGGAGAATAACATCTTCTATGTTACAGAATAAACATGAGGTTCAGAGACTGGTGAGAAATAAAGATGCAGTCAGATTTATGCAAACTCTGAGAGGAACACCAGCATACTGGCAGAAAACCACTAAAGATCTGTTTGCCATGATCAGACAGCTGGGAACTCCAACGTTCTTTTGCACCTTCAGTGCTGCTGAGATGAGGTGGAGGGAAATCATCACAGCTATAAAGAAGCAGCAAGGTGAACAGGTTGATTTAGAAAATCTTGACTGGTCCACAAAATGTGAAATCTTGAGATCTAATCCAGTTACAACCATGAGGATGTTTGACAAACGTGTGGAAGCTCTGTTCAGAGACCTGCTCATGTCCCCTGCTCAGCCGCTTGGTGAGATTGTCGACTACTTCTACAGAGTTGAGTTCCAGCACAGAGGAAGTCCTCATATACACATGATGCTCTGGGTTCGTGGTGCTCCTGAATGTGACAAAGACTCTGATCAAGCCGTCTGTGATTTTGTAGACAGATACATCTCAGCACAGCTGCCTGACCCAGAAACACAACCAGAACTCCACAAGAAAGTCACAGAAGTTCAGAAACACAGCAGGAACCACACCAGGACCTGTTTTAAGACCGTGAACTCTGGCTGTAGATTTGGGTTCCCTAAACCACCCTGCAGGAGAACAATGATTAGCAGAACCGATGAGGAACATGACCAAGCTACTGCTAAACAGAAACTCAGAACTTTGGCGAGTCTGCTCAATGAACCAGAAGCTGCATCACTGACTTTAGACCAGATTCTGTCTCGATGCACTTTAACCATGAGTGAGTATGAAGAATGCATCCAGTCCATGAACAGAAAGACAGCCCTGATCCTGAAGAGAGATGCAAAAGACAGCTGGATTAACAACTACAATCCACATCTGCTAGAGGCCTGGGACAGTAACATCGACGTGTCTTTTATCCTGAATGCATATTCATGTGTGGAGTATCTGACCAAATACATCACAAAGAAGGAAAGTGGGCTTTCTGACTATCTGTCTACAGTGATCAGTAGCTCTAACATGGATGGAGTCAATGAGTGTGAGGAGATGAAAGCAGTCATGCAGGCTTATTCTAAGAAAAGAGAGATCAGCGCTCAGGAGTGTGTGACTCGTGCTTGTGGTCTTAAGATGAAAAAATGTTCACGCAGCATTGTTTTTGTCCCCACTGATGATAACCCGGTGAAAATGAGCCGTCCCATGTCTTTCCTGGAGAACACGACACCAGACAGCTGCAACATCTGGATGACAAGTCTGAATGACAAATACAAATCCAGACCTGAGACTCCAGAGTACGAGGATATGTGTTTAGCTGATTTTGCAGCAACATGCAGGTTTGTAAGTGAAAAAGAAAGTGTGCGCAAAGATGTCCTCCCTCTCCTCAACCAGCTGGGATTTGTGCAAAGGCGTCAGAATAATAAGCCTTGTGTCATCAGGTTTTATCACTGCTCTAAAGAGAAACACCCAGAGGAGTTTTACGGAAGACTGCTGAGACTTTACCTTCCACACAGATCAGAGCAGGAACTGAAATCACGCCGATTACAAACTCATCAGTCCTATTACAAGTCCGGCTGGGTACGACTACCAGGTTCAGAACATTCTGAGTTTGTCAAGGACATTGTCACCAGAAACCAGGACAAATATGAACGCAACAGTAAAGAGATCGAGTCTGCTCTTGAGGAATTTGAACGGGACAGAGGTGAAGGTTGTGATGAGTGGTCTAATCTTGCTCCAGAATCTGAAGTTGTGAGACTGCAGTGCGATGACCAGCCAGAGGACCAACAGGAGGATGTTCCAGACTACTGTGCTCCACCTGCAGCAGAAGTCAGAGCTGTCAGAGAAACACCTGCCATCGATCCCACTGTGTTGCGTCAGATGTACCAGAATCTAAACCAGAAGCAGGCCTGTGTGTTCTATGCAGTCAGAGACTGGTGTATTAAACGTGTGTGTGGCCTCAATCCAGATCCATTCTTTTTCTTTTTGGAGGGAGGTGCTGGTACTGGCAAATCCATGGTTGTCAGATGCATTCACTCTGAAGCATCCAATATTCTGTGCAGACTGCCTGCCGAGGATGTTGACCTTTCAAACCCAACTGTTCTGCTGACGTCATTCACGGGAACTGCTGCGTTTAACATCGGTGGCACCACACTGCACTCGCTCCTCAAACTACCCAGAAGCCTGAAACCTCCCATTCAAGGACTTGGTAACCAGCTAGATGAAGTCAGGTGTGAACTTCTGAATGCAGAAATCCTTGTTATCGATGAGATTTCCATGGTTTCAAAGCCTCTGTTTGCCTACGTGGACGCTAGACTGAAACAGATTAAAGGAAACCAGAGACCATTTGGTGGAATGTCAGTTTTAGCTGTTGGAGATTTTTATCAGCTACCACCAGTTCGACAGTCTAAGCCCCTCTGTGTCTACGACCCATCAGACATTGACCTTTGGCAGCCATATTTTCAGATGATAAGTCTGACTGAAATCATGCGGCAGAAAGATGATGTTGCCTTTGCAGAGATGCTGAACAGGATCAGAGTGAAGGAAAAGACAGATGAGCTCTCTCCAGCAGACAGAGATATGCTATCACGCACCATCACTGAACCAGAACTCTGTCCCTCTGATGTGCTGCACATTTTTGCCACCAACAAGGATGTGGAAGCTCATAACTCAGCAACACTGGAACGGCTGCACGATAACATCATCACAATAGATGCAGATGACTTCCAGAAAGACCCACGAACTGGCAGAATGGAGAGGAAAGACACACCTTTGAAAGGAGGAAGAGGTGAATTACCTGACTGTCTGAAAGTGGCTGAAGGAGCTCGAGTCATGCTGACGAGAAACATCAATGTCCAGGATGGCCTGGTTAACGGTGCTTTTGGTAAACTGGTTAGAGTGATAGCTTCTGAAATAGACCCCCAGCACATTTTTAAACTTGCTCTGAGAATGGATAACCAGTCATCTGTCAGGAACAACCGCCATGGAGCTTCTGGGTCTGATGATCTGGTTTACATCGAGAGAGCAGAGGACAGCCTGAAGCAGAGAGGAGGTGTACGCAGACAGTTTCCTGTAAGACTGGCTTTTTCCTGCACCACTCACAAAACTCAGGGTCTCACGACACATGCAGCTGTGGTCTCACTGAAGAACATCTTTGAACCTGGAATGGCATACGTGGCTCTGAGTAGGGTGACTAGCCTTGGTGGACTGTATCTCCTGGGTTTGGATGAGAGAAAGATCTACGCCAATCCTGATGTGACTGCAGCACTCCAGAGCATGAGACAGGCCAGTGTGGATCAGATGATGCCTCTTCTTCTGGTGAGAGAAGCAGTAAGCAGACCTGACACTTTGACCCTAATTCACCACAACACAGAGGGTTTACCGGCTCACATCAATGACATAACGAGTCACCACGAACTGTCTTTAGCAGATGTGTTGTGTCTGACCGAAACACACCTGCAAGGTTCTTTTGTTGCAGAAAGTCTTGTTCTGGATGGCTACACCATGTTCAAACGCAGCAGACACCAGTCCTACACCAAGTTTCCTCAGATGGCCTGCAAGAGTGGTGGTGGAGTTGCTGTTTATGTGAAAAACCACATTCAGGTCCGTGAGAAACGCTATGTGCACAATGTGACTGATCTGGAGTTTTTGGTTTTGAAGGTTGAGACACCGTTTCCAGCTCTGATTGCAGTGATTTACCGACCTCCAGACTACAGCATGAGACCATTCATGGAGAACCTGGTAAGCCTTTTAGACTCTCTAGAGGTCATGGACTGTCATCCAGTCATTGTATGTGGCGACTTTAATGAGAATCAGTTTTCAGGTGGAAGGAAGCAGATTGTAGAGCACTTTCAGTCCAGGGGGTATGCACAGATGATCACTTCCGCCACCACAGACAAGAACACACTGCTTGACCTTGTTTTTATCTCTCAGCCCCAGCGGAGCTTACATTGTGGTGTCCTGAGAACCTATTATAGTTACCATGACCCGGTTTTCTGTGTGTTGTCCTCTAGCCAACCATGAAGTGAGGTGAGTTTTAATCATGGACAAGTGGAGTGACGTGTTAATGCAGAATAATGTTTTATTTTGAAAGTTTGATGATTTAACAGGATTGAATCAAATCTTTTCTAGTATAAAGTCTGTCTGAAATGAGAATCATGAAGTTTCACTTTGCTTTTAGCCTATATTTATAATCACAGTTTAAAGCATAAGTTATTGGATGACAGGTCATAATTATGGAACATGACAATGCATTTTTCTGATTGTTCTAAATATTGTAAATCACTACGTTGTTCATGTAATTACATTTTCTACCTTTTTATTACTATGGATTCATGTTTTCTACTACAAACATTTTTATTCAGAACATTTTTACAGATAAAATCTATATGAAAACTGATTTACACGATGGCGGTCTGTGCATTTACCTGGGTGGGTGGGTTAAGGGAGGGTAAATGCACAGGTCCGACCATTGACTGCATAAAACCAGCCGGCACCCCACTAAATAGGGGGAAGGGGTGGTTGGGTGGGGGTAAATTTTCTTTTTTGTAAGTTTAATGTCACACAGGAGACATGTTCTCCTGTATTCTTTGATAAAACACCTTCAAGCTTCTTCAACATCAGCACAACCCAAAACGTCTCAGCATCAGCTTCATGAACTGATGAGTCAAACTTGCACCGCCATTGCTGGACCACACAGGGACATCACAAAGACTGCTGTTCCACGAGCTCTCATCCCACAGGATACAGCTCCTGTCAACCACCACCTGACCTTCTGGCTCTAAGAGCTTCACCTTGCTGCTGCCACTCCCTACACCCGCTGTTCTGAACCATCAGAGACATCTCTGCCTCCTGCCAGGGTCCAGGATCATCTCAGATGATGGAAGGTGTCAAATGTTTCCTGTTAATAATGTTATTAAATGCTAAATATTTCCTTCATGATGTTTAATGAAGTAGAAAAAATGTGTTCTCCAGTTTCAGGTGTATGAATGTTAATTATTGTCTTTTTGCAGGTTTCTTCTGCCTTCACGTTACATCTGAGAGCACTGAACCAACTGAAACATTTATCGACACTCAGTGACATCTGGGTGTGGGACAGACCTGGTCAGGAGATGTTTATTTTCTTTTGCAGGACTCTAAGGTATTTGATAACATTTGATCATTAGTTTCATATGTTGGTGCTTTAACACTAATGTAATATTTTATTTCTCTGTATTGTTGGTACAGTCTCTTCCTTGATGCCTGCATATCCTCCTCTGAGATTCCTCTGTGTCACCGTCTGACCTCGTCTGACTCTGGTTGCTGCAGAGATGCTGTTCATACTCATTTCCTACTTCACTTTTGCAGCATCATGTCTACCTCATGAGGCATAAAGGTAACAAATCAACATTTTTACCTCCTTGGTTTAAAACACATTTCTATTTGAGTAACAAACGTGTTCTCTGTGTTCTTGTCTTAAATGCCTGTAGCTGAACGTCCTGTGCTACAGCAGCAAACACTGAAGCCGCAGGTTGTTGCACCAATAAACATCCACTCTGGCATGATCACACTAACATCTTAACACGGACACTCATTCAGCTGACGGTTTCCATCAGCAGATCCAGGAAACAGGAAAAAGTCCCATATGATCAAACTGGAACTCAGCACTCATTTCAAGGCCGTCTCCACTTTACTTTGTCACCTGTCAGTTAAATGAACCATTTATCTATAATATGTATCTGATACATTATAGTTTTCATTTGCTTTAGTTTCTCCTCTCTGTTATTATTGTTAAAGGATAATGTAGAACTACAATGATGGAGGTAGCCCTGTGACAGGCTAACCCAGTGTTAACACTGACCAGTAGGCGGGTTTAGGCAAGGCAAGACTCACACAAACATATCATATGGTCACCTGCATCAGTGTCAGGTGCTGTCTGATCCAAACCCAGCAATCTTGTAAATATAGAACATCCCTACTTTAATACTTTATGTACTGAAATTGTTAAATTCCAAACAAGTAAAAATGAGTAAGCAGCTCCACTTTCTATCTGCTCTGTGTTTGAGTGAGTCCTGTCTGGGTGTGGGGTGTCGGCTGGTATGTAGGTATAGGACAGGTGTTCCACATATGTGCTGTGACACCAGGTAAACTCATACAACACACCTCAGTGTTGAGATGGGAGTCAAACTGAAAGTATTCAAAGATGAACCGGTCATATCTAGTGAAGTGGGGGCTTTTTGATTAAAAATCTGACCTCAGGTCATACAGGTGACCAGGATTCTAAGATACATTAAAACCAAACATCCCAAATTTAGGTATTTATCATGATTTTGATCTGTTTTAAACTCATTTTAAAGAACAGCTGTGGTATCAGAACACATTGTGTAAATATTTTAGCTTTAGGTTAACCATTAAGGTTTAACTAAACCATTTTTCACTTTTACATTTACAAGTTTTATAGAATACATTTTATTTTATTTATTTAACTAGTTCTCTGACTCACTAACTCCAACCAAAGCCCTGACATGTTCTCCTCTTTCCCCAAAAAATCTGAACTAGGGAGCATTTATAAAACTATGACAAACAAACAATCCTAATTCATGAATTACTGACCAATTTATTAACTCAGTTGACAGTATTTAAGATAATACTGAATTGTGCACACACACACACACACACACACACACACACACACACACACACACACACACACACACACACACACACAAACATTAAGTGGAATGTTACCCTACGTACAGTGTGCTGCATTCACCTTTTAAGTTTTTAGTTTCCAAGTCAGAATAATGTTTAAGTTTTCTTTTTTGTGTTGGATGTCAGTGAGCTCATGCCTTCATCATAAATATACTTTGTTCTTAAAATAGTTTGAGTTAAAAAAACAAATGTTGTGTTCAGCTTAAAGCATGTCTCCACAGTACAAACAGGCGCCGTTGTCATAGTTAAATTATAATCATAATGATTATAATTTAAGGATGGTTGGTACAAGCTTCCATATCTGTAATTTTATAGTCTTTTTTATAACTGACTTTTCTTTTAATCATTTTGACCTCTGAGTTTTGTGTTTTAAGTCCTGCTTATTAGTGAAACCTTCTTTCAAACATTCATTTTCTAAAACTTTTTTTTTTCATTATTTTAACAAGGTTTTAAAATGTGCATTAGTGTTAAATGCTATACGCTTTTGTCATTTTTTTCTTTAAATTCACTTGAAATTCTTTTAATTTGAAAACATGAAATTATTTTAATTATTTTTCTCATATTTTAAAAAAATTACTTGATTGATTTTATAAATTGTAATAATTAAATTTTCAATATTTTTTGTTCTTTTACTGTATTTTTTTAAATTTTTTATTATGCTGTCCTACAACTTTAACGTTTAAATAAATATGCTATTAGAATTTGCCGTGAATTATATTAACATTTTACTTCTAAACTAACCTGTTTTAACTCAAATTTTCTGTATTTCAATAAAAAAAATTTAACTTAAAAACATTAAATACTTCCTGGATTTATCACAATTTCTTTCTGGTCCACTCACTTTTATTTTTGATTAGTTGAGAGAAATTTAACAATTTAGAGATTTCAAGTCTGTTTCATTACGTTTTATACAGTTTTAAACTATGTGAAGCAATTTTTGATTCTATGTCTATGCTAAGTGCTTTATAAATAAACTGTACATCTATTGTGACCATTTTACTGATTTTCATTTTTTGTTGTTGCATCCTTTTTATATATATATTTTTTAAACTAGTCCTACTCAAATAACAGATATTTAAACATTTCAGCTGTCCAGTTTTTAAAATAGAGTTCAGTCATTTCAATTTGCTACTGTTTAGGATTTTTTTCTCCAGTCTTCACCTACTTTTTCGACTTCATTACACTTGTTCATTATTTTTCCTTCTAAATCGTTAAATACATTCAGCTCCTTTTGACAGTTTTGCTTAGATTCAGCTTCACTTGAGCTATTCAGCAACTTCTGCAATTAGTTTCTGAATTCAGCATATGATGCTAATTTCAGAGTTCAGCTAAATGTAAAAATCAAACTGTTAAACTAGTCCTACTGAAATAGACATTTTAGATGTCCAATTTTTTTAAACAGTGTTCACAGATTTGAGTTTTCTGCTATTTAGGATTAGGTTTCTTGATTCTTCACTTACTTTTTGTGCTTTTTTTTGCTTTTTGCTTTCACATCTTTCACTACATTCAGCTCATTCAACAGTTTAGCTTAGTTTCAGCTTACTTCAGCTATTCAACAACTTCAGCAATCAGTTACCAATTTTAGCATATACTGCTAATTTCACAGTTCAGCTAAATGTAACAATTAAACTGTTAAACTAGTCCTACTGAAATAACAGTGTTTACACATTTTAGCTGTCCAATTTTTTTAAACAGTGTTCACAGATTTGAGTTTTCTGCTATTTAGGATTAGTTTTCTTGATTCTTCACTTACTTTTTGTGCTTTTTTGCTTCTTTGTGCTTTTTGCTTTCACATCTTTCACTACATTCAGCTCATTTAACAGTTTAGCTTAGTTTCAGCTTACTTCAGCTGTTCAACAACTTCAGCAATCAGCTACCAAATTTAGCATATACTGCTAATTTCACAGTTCAGCTAAATGTAAAGATTAAACAGTTAAACTTGTCCAACTGATATAACAGGTGTTTAGATATTTAAGCTGTCCAGATTTTTATACAATGTTCACAGATTAAAGGTTTTTATTTTTATTTTTTAATTTTTTTGCTATTTAGCATTATTTTTCTCTATTCTTCACTTACTTTTTGTGCTTTATTTGCTTGTTGGTGCTTTTTGCTTCTACATCTTTCAAGACATTCAGCTCATTTTGACAGTTTTGCTTTGTTTCAGCTTCAGTTAAGCTGTTCAGCAGCTTCAGCTCAGCTGTTCAGCAGCTTCAGCTTACAGTTTCAGCTATCCAGCATTCAAACAGCATTTGTGCAATAAATGCAATTTTTCTAGTTCTTCTTCTTCTTATTCTGCTTCCGTACACTTTTTGAACCGCTTCTTCTCCTTCAAATTTTGAGCTATTTCAACTATTTTATACCAAAACGTTCAGCTCGTTTAGCTCTTTCCGGCTATTACTTTTGGCATTGATATCTTTAAAATTTTTCGAGTTATTAAGCTTTTTCTGCAAAAAATTTCCCATTGAAATGAATGGGATTGGTCAATTTTCAGCAAATTCCTATCACCTTTTTGACCTAAAACTCTACTGGGTTCCTTTTAAGTCAGAGACTTCATTCAAAGTTTAACAAACTCACAAGACTTTCCTGTTTAACATATTAAAGAGGCTTTTTGATATCTTTTACGGTTTTTCTAAAATCGCAGGTAGAAGTTGAGGTACGACTTGAAATTTTCAGAAAAATTCACAAAAGTTATAATGGGGAAAGATAGGAGCAGTGACCCTCCCTTGCTCCATTTCTGGCATTGTAGCAAGAGAACCGTAGGTCCGATTGAAATGAAACACACACTGGCTTACAGCTAACAAAAATACCTTCGTTTTGAGCTATAATCCATGACTGTACTCCAAACATTGTGGTCGTAC